TCCCCGAGCCGAGCCCCTCGCATCCCGCCAGCAACACACAAACCTGGCCCCTGGGGAGTCACCTGGCATCCCTCCAGTCACACACACACTGGCCCCTGGGGAGTTCCTGAGCCCTCTCACACCACACCAGCTACACACAGCATAACACAAATCAAAGAACCTCACCCAATAATTTTTGCATCAAGCCCATATTTTCTGTTTGAACTATAGAATATCCTTTAAAATTATATCCACTCTTAACTAGACTCTCTAGATAGTTGTTCCAATAGTTACCCTCTCCATTAAAAACGTGCACCTAAATAGTCTGAATTTTCTGAGCTTCAGCTTCCAACCACTGGATCTCACCATGTCTTCTGCTAGATTAAAGAGCCATCTCCTCTCAGAAATCTCTTCCCCATGTAGAGTGTGTGGCGTATCATGATAGTCACCTATTAACCTTCTCTTACCCAAACTAAATAGATTGGGCTTCTTAAATCTCTCACTATAACTCATGTTTTCTAGACCTCAACTTCTTGTAGCTCTTTTCTGAATCTTTTCCAGTTTTCAACATCCTTTTTGACCTTTGGACTGCAGAACTGACACAATATTCCAGTAAGGGTCTCAATAATGCTGTATACAGAGGTAATATCACTTGATCATTACCTGTTAGGTTTACTCCCTCTGGGGCACCTGGCATTGGCCTCTGTCGGTAGACAGGATACTGGGCTAGATGGACCTTTGGTCTGACCTAGTATGGCCGTTCTTATGTAATATCACCTCTCTACTCTTAATATTCCCCTGCTTATACACCCAAGGATTGTAATTAACACTCTTAGCTACAGCATAGCTCTGAGAGGTCACGTTCAGTTGGTTAGCTGCTGTGACCCCTAAAAGAAGTCCTTTTGAGTCACTGTTCCAGGACACAGTCCCATCTTATAAATGTGACCTCCATTCTTTGTTCTTAGATGGATGACCTTTCATTTCATGGTGTTAAATCATGTGTTATTCATATCAGCTCATGTTATCAAGTGATCGTGGTTGGGCTCATCTACATCATTTACAGTTCCACCAACTTTTGTGTCATCTGCAAATTTGACCAGCACTGATTTAATTGTTTTTTCCAGATCATTCATAAAGATATTAAACTGCATTGGACCAGAGAACAGATCCTTACAGATCCCCTCTAGAAACACTTCCGTTGGCTGATGAATCCCCATTCACAATTACTTTTTGAGATCTGTTAGCCAGTTTTTAATCCATTCAATATGGACTACGTTAATTTTGTATACAGAACGTAGAGCAGATCTGACCACAATAAACTATGGAACTTGTCCTTATTTTCATCGCTGATGCATCAGCCTTTGTCAGAATTTAATCTCAGATTAAAAATGGTCACATTAAAGGGAATACCTATAAAAGGTTTCTCTATTTGAATTTACTTTATTGTATCCAGTCTCTGGTCATTATTACAACAGGTGTTTCTGTACAGTTAATATAGGAAAATGTTTAATAGCTTTTCAAATGTTACTGGATATTAAGTGATCATTAATACAAGATACCCTGAGTTTATAAGGGCCATCCTTGTCCCATTACAGTCATTCTCTCACCAGAAAGCATACATTAGCCTGATCATTATCATTTCCATTAATTGGTACCCAAACAAAAAAAGGTATATTTTGTGTAATTGCAAAATTACTGAGAGTTCTTCTGGGTACTGTTCTATGAATAGCTCACAGATGAGACTGTGACATCAACCTTCATTGGTCTCCTTGTTCATTCACTGATGTGTCAGCAAATGACACTGCATCAGAGGCATGCAGACAAACAAAGCTATTACCCCACATTCAGACAGACGTGTCACCCAAAAGCATAAACTGCGCCAATAAAACCCTATGATTAATGTGAAACTTATCCCAGATACTCATACTTGCCTATTAATAGTATATTGTCATGAAATTTAGGCCTTAAATATAGGTAGTATAAGAAAAAATAATTTACAAATTCTAACACTAACAGGTATTTTCAGGAAATATTTAGGGTTTTTTAAGTTTAAGATTAAGCTTTAAAAAAAAAAAAAATCATTCCTAGACAGCATGGACTTGTTTTTCAAATTAATCACAGCCCTTCTCCCCAAAGAAACTGTATATCCATTCAGCTTTTCCATAACAATAAAAAGACATTCCTGAAACAACATAATTGGGGAGCAGTCACAGTCTTACAGACAATGCATCAATATAAGGTGCAGGTATAAGATTTATATTCATATTGTTACTAAACTAGCCAGGGATTTGGATGGCTTATTGGGATTGGTTTGAATTCAGCCACTTTAGTGGTTATCAGGTTATTACTCAGGGACAGCTGTAGGGGGTTAAGTGATGCTGTAAAATGAGACAAACAAAACAACCCCCTCCTCTCCCCCCAAACACATCACAACTGAAATCTTAACTGTACAGAGAGGTCAATAACTCAATAGGCACAGAGTGAACTCCAGAGTGGCTGATTTGGGTTGAGGCATGCTGTCGGGGCTGTGAAAAAAAACGACTGTACTATAGTTTTGGTGAGGTTAAAGAACTTCACTCTCTGAGGAAATTCATTTTCCTTAGAAACGGAAATAGCTATGAAAGTGGAATCAGCTTTTCAGTAATGTGAATGAACTTGTTGAGTTAAACTTTGTAGTTATGGGTTGGGCATGGCCCCACTTTACATATAGGATAAATGTAAAGAAGCCATTGTAACCAGGTGGCTGAAACAATAGCATTAGCACCCAAAATATAGGCACATGGACATTCTGAGCAAAAGCTGAACATTTGGCCCTATGGGTTTGACTGGTGGAAATGTTTTGAGGTAGGGGAGTCTGTCTGAGAGAAAGCCAAGAAGACAGTAACAGAAGGCTGGTAAGAAAGCTTTACTGAGAGAAAGCTAAGAGAAAAGGCTTTCGGGGTATAACATGCTCGCTGGAAAGGTAGGCTTGGAACAGCATTTATAGTGCAGAGTTTATATTATAGTGCCTAAAATTAACCATAATTAAACATGATTGTGGCCTGGCCTGAAACTGTTATAGCATGATCATTTCCTTACCTGGGAGGACAGAAAAAAAGTTACAATCATTTTACAGAACCGTGTTTTAATTCTGTAGCTACCCAACATGGATATCACTTTTTCTTCCCTGACTTCTGTGGACAGAAGAACATACTACATCACATGGACCATAATAATGATAAAGATGATAATTTTTGTAGGATAGACAGGATCTAAAGATCTTACAAATGTCAGACTGGAACAAAAATAATTTATTCTCCTGCATAATGGGCTCTCTACCACTAACGCTACAACATTAGGATGCAACTTCAGCTTCGAAAGATGGCTACTGCTAGCAAAAGACTCAAGTAGTTTAAACTTTATTTACAAAAGTGTTTCACAATTTATACATGTCAGTAAGTGCTTATCACTTAAAGAATGCACATTGAGAAAATGAGATCAGTTTTTATTGATGGCTTCTTGGCAGCTCCACACATTCTGTACTTTGGATCTACACTGTAATATGTGTATTGTCACTAGTTCATATTCACCTTTTCCTTTGGTGCAATTAATGTATGTAGCCTCCAGGGCTACCTCTTAACTGATTCACTAACAGGTAACCAGTCTGAGTGAGCTTACTATTCCTCAGAATGCCAAGTGCACATTTAGCTCACTTAATTTTTAGATGATACTGTTTATTGAAAGGAATATGGTTATCCATAAAATCTAATTCACCCTGTTGTGCCTTTTAAGCATTATATGATCTTACATTCCTTGTATGCTACAATACTTAGGCAGTGAGGTGGTTTGAGGATAGATTTGGTGCTTTAATCATGAACTTCCATGCTTTAGTGATTATAAAATCAAATCATTAACATCACTAGAATATAGGAGTTCAGATTTTTATATAGGAATGCTACAGTATATAGCCAAAGAAATATTAATTTATAATATAACATAACTGAAGAGGAAGTTAGCAATTACCATGTCTTAAAAAAGAAGTCTTTACAAATCTGTATCCATTTATAAAGATAAAACCCTGCATTTTAAATTAAGTCAAATGAGATCATCCAGCTGTTGTTTGCATCATGCCAAAAAGGAGAATGTTTATGACAGGTAAAATGTAGGCAGAGAAAAAGAAAAATCATGATGAATTTCCAGCCTCACAAAAACAGTATTTCATGCTTTATATGCATCCTTTCCCACTGTCATTTACAAGGAACAGTCAATCTTGAAGCCAAAATCTATACTGATAAGTTTGTGCAGCCATTCAGCACTGCAAAGTTGTGTGTGTGTGTTTTTATTTGTTTGTTTGTTTGTTTTGTTTTTTAAAGCAGTGACTTTGTTTTAAAAACTTGGTGCAGCAGGCATGGCAAAAGAGTTAATCTGTTAGTCAATTAGGTAGACTGAAATGCACAACAGTATTGCCTACAAAGGATGAGAATGGTGGAAGTAAAAAGCAATTCTGAAAAGCATTACTTGTCTTCTGGTCAAATCCACATTGCCTTACTCATGCAAGTGGTCCTACTGAAATCAGTGGAAATTAAGCATACAAGTAAAGGAAACAGAATTTAGCCTAAGGATCTATCTTACAGTAATATTCTAAGCCATCAAGAAGCCATCATTCTACACAAATCTTTACCAAAACCTAACGGCCCTTTTATATACAGTACTATTCTGTGCTGAATGTTTATTTCCATCTAATTATGATTCACTCTAACTAATTATAATTAAATACATTACTATGGTGCAATAGTATAATTTTAAAATATTTTGGTAAAGAAATCAAATGTATAGTTTCAAAAGATTATTCTTAGAATGTCTGTGGCAACTGCTTACATACTAAGTGAAAAACAGCTTCAACACCATACATCTATAACATATTTCCATATAATTTATATGTAAACAGAATTTATAGTTAAAGCACCATTTATGAAAAAGGAATGTGTTTAAACTGTTGCAGTAAAATTGAAAGCCAAATTTGGTCACTCTGTCACACATTCATCTTGAGTATCAAAGGGTAAGTCTTACAACTGATTGAACAAGCTAGCTTGCATACTCATGCTCCCCATTTTTCTCAGTAACAGAAACAACATGATAAACAAACTGTAAGGTGCATGAATGAAGGCCATTCCTGAAAAAGCTGTAAAATTCTGACAAAATAGAAGATATTCGTAAAAAGCATTTGAGAAAAAACATGCGCACACATACAAACATAAACAGTCAGTCTTAACAAAGCTACCTGCACAGGGGTCATTTCAGTTTGCAGGAATGCACCTTAGAAATGTGGCACTGAAGTTATGGCATCTAAATCTCTTTCTCCCTCCTTTCCCCCCACTCTCAACACAGCTTGGTGAACTAACAAACCAGGGAAGAGATAGATATTCTTACTAGGCGTGTGAAGGAAGAAATGGTGAGAGGCCAAGGTAAGGGGAGGAACTCAAAGATTAAAACAGAAGACAAAACAGGAGAGGTAGAGACAAGAATAAACTGTTTAGCCCAATTGCCAACATGTCATGTCTCTCTCACAGAAAAAAGTACCATCTCCAGTAAAGCCAACTTCAGCATTCAGTGGAAAGAGTACGAAGAGGGAGCCAAATCATCTGACCTAAAGTAAGAGAACTGGAGAAATCTTTGACATGAACTTTCCTTTAATGATGATTTTCAAATAATGCTAAAGGTACTGCAAGTACAAAAAAGGTAAAATCTTAAATCATTAAGATAACTTGGGTACCATTATAATTACAATTATATTGAAGATTTTTCTTTTCAACTGCCAAGACCTCATGGTTTTGTGTTTCTCCTGCAGAAATGATCCTATCACAAGCACAAAACAGCAGAGCAGTAAGCTCTGTTCTAGGTTCTGGGAAGCGAAACACCATCAATTCTTGCAGGAGAAACATAGAACCATGAACTCAGGGTCTAGAGGGTAAAAGATTGAATTAAATTTTTTTCATTTTAAAATGTGCTTACTGGTTTTAAAATTTGTCCATATTTTCTATTCATGATTTAAGAGCCTAACTTTTTTGTATTTATTTTTAAATTATTATTGAATGGCATCTGAATTCACTGATAAGAAAACTGCACTAAATTTAGTAATTTTGTGCTGAATTCTCCAAGCAGCTGACATTTAATAAGAAAGGAAGGTAAATTATACTTGCCCCTTATTTGGGGTATCCAACACACAGGCCCTGAGCCTACAAGGCACTTAACTTTGCTCACTTGAGTAATCCTCCTGAAGTCAATGAAACTACTCACCTGAGCAAAGTTATGCATGTGTTGAAGTGTTTTGCAGCATCAGGGCTAATTTCTAAATTGGTGCAATATTTTTGTTATTTTCAGATCTCCTTTTAACTCTGACCCCCTTCTTCTCATCTGTGGTAAGACAATATCCTGTGTCTCTGAAATGAACCCTGCTTGTACAGCATCCACACAAGAATATTATAATGGAGATTGAGTGTTCTAACAAAAGAGAAAACATTATTTTGTCATTTCTTTTCTTCTGTATTTAGGCAGTTCCTAACAGTTTCCAAGGACATATTCATGGCTGCTTGAAGCATGTCTTCTTCACTCATATCGCCTCCTGCCAGGAGACAAACATACACAAAATATTCATGTTTAATTACTTCTGGAATGCAGCTATAAAAAAGTAAACATTTTTCATATCACTTCTTGCCTCTTGTTTCTATTTGTTTATCATTCCATGTTTTTTCAGATGTCTTTTGCTTTTTTGTTTTCTATTATCAAATGATCATTTCAGACTTACTTTTCAATGCACTGTAATCATTCTATAAAAAGATATGAAATAATGTATAATTAATTTTAGGTCTGATATTTAACATTAGTAATGTTCACATATTTATTTTCTCTCTGAATTACATTGTTAACATGTTTCCACACATAATTAAAAATAATAAATGTCTCTGTTCCAGCCTAATGTATTTTTTATAAAACTTGAGAATAGACATTTAGAGAGAGATTTATTTTTCAACATGCATCCTGTTGTTGGTAATAAGAAGTGCTGCATACACCTACACCAAGAGCTACCATACTATATTCAACTGAAAGAAAGTAAAACCAGAACCTGCTTGATCTAGTAGCAGTGCTGTGCACTCCCAAGAAGGAGAGATCGACATGCAATCACTATCTCTAGATTCTTAGGCCAACAAGGGCTGAGAGCAGTGTGCAGGTAATGCAGTCCACTCCTGTGGGACAGGTGATCTCATATCACTCAAGAGTGACCCTTTCGGCCAACACAGCAGAACAGGCTCTCTAAGAGCCCTATTATATCCTCCCCAGCAAGAAAAATAGTGGCTATGTCATGCAGCCCCAAGGGCAGTTGTTAGGGGAGTTAAAGGCAAGGAAAACTGGGGAACTGTTCTTCAGCAAAGAGAGAACCCACCAGGGAAAAATCTAGATTAACATCTGTGTTGAAAACCATAGGCTGAATAAAACAATACCTGGGTCTGTTCCTAGTGCATTTGAACTTGTAGTTGGCTTATCGTGTATATCTGGGGTCTGGCCTTGCTGCAACTGTTGCTGCTGTCTGAAATTACCAAAATAGTTTAAATTAGTGAAAAAACAAAACTAGGAGCACAAAAATAGTATAAACTAGACAAACTCCTAAGTTCCTAGTATCTGGTAGAGTTCAAGTTACCACATTTACACTTCAAGAAAATATTACCAGATACAAAACTGACCGTGAGATAATCCAGAATCTCTGGCTTTTATATTAGGCACTCACTTCACTATATTCTGATCCCTGCAAATAATTTGATCCACACACACCAAAAAAAGGGCAGAAAATAGATAGCTATCTACTATCAACCTTAAGAAACCCATGGTGGGTAGTTAGAATTATGAAAAAGGGAACTTATAAAATGTATTAAAGTAGTACTGTCAACTTAAAAATCTTATGTTCTAAACAAAGTTTCTTTACCTATGTTCAACACCATACATTGTGCAGCGTTGCCAACCCTCCAGGATGTCCTGGAGTCTCCAGGAATTATGCCATGTGATGAAACCTCCAGGAGTTCATACAACCAAAGCTGGCAACCCTATATGCACGGTTGTTGTAGTTGTGTCAGTCCCATGATATGAGAAAGACAAGGTAGGTGGGGTAATATCTTTTATTGGACCAACTTCTGATAGTGAGAGAGAGATGCTTTTGAGCAGACTGTAAGCTCGAAAGCTTGTCTCTCTCACCAACAGAAGTTGGTCCAATAAAAGATATTAACCCACCCACTTTGTCTCTCTTATACCATACATTAAAAGACAAATAACTTTAAAATACCAGAGAACATGTCACAATTTATACCATTTAATTTTAACATTTATATCAGCTTTGATATTTTTCAATTATATCAGATTCACTTTCAGTTCCTTACTGTTAGGGTTCCAAACATTGCAGGAAAATATTTAGTTGTTAAAAACAACTGTTTTTATTGTTTTGTTTTTTAAATTGTGAAACATTTCCCTGGATCTGAGGCTTTACATCTGTTCCCTCCTCCTCCCAAAATTTACATACAGGTCCAAATTTAAATCCACAATCTCCATTTAAAAGCTCCTCATCTTGTCTTTATTGTCTCTTTTTCTAAGGTCCTGTTCTGACACCTCCCCTCTGCAAAAAAGTCATTTTTCATTCCATGGAAAGCCAATGAGTGAGAAATATTTGGATGGTGCCCATCATATGCCCTTGCACCCCAAAATCCCTTCAATTCAAATGTCTGGCATTCTCATCCACTCATACACAATCTTATCCCCTTATTACTTCACTTTTCCTTCTGGTTCCCCTCTCCCTCCTCACTAGAAGATCAAGATAGAGAGAAGGAAAAACAATAGTAACAACAGAAGAGATGCAACTGGTTTATAGTTCTGAAACAGAAGCTGAATTGGTATTAAGAATCTACTTGCTCATCTCTATGGTTAGCAGAGAACAAGCTCTGCCCAACCTTTTGTTCAGAGGGGGAAGGACTCAATAGATGAATATTATGTGACTCCCTGCATTTATATCTCAACTCTCAGGCACATACCCCCACTAAATATTGATTGTGTTGTTTTTTTCGTAGAGTGCACTCATTAAATCATGAAGGACACATACCCTCTATAAAATAATTAGTGTTATTTACAACAATACTCCTAAGACTTCATATAAAATAGTATCTTAGTACCTATGTGTGCACATAGCTGGACATTTACCTTACTGGCAAACAAACAATCTCCTTCTAACTAGTATCTCAAGTAACTAATTAGAAGCTACAGGATTTCCAGAATACGGTGCTAAAAAGGCCATTAAAAAAAAAAAAAAAGATAAATAAAGCTAAATCTGACCTCAATGTGTGAAAAAATATTCTACTATCCTAAAATATAATTACTTCAACAAGCAAATTCAGTTTTCCACCAGATACTTTACTTTTCAAAATATGTCTGTCTTCTCCTTCGCAGCTCTTCTGAAGAAAGAGATTCAAACTGACTTGTACCAGACGAATGTGGTATATTCTGCGATACAGAGTCTGAAAACTCACTTTGATGGCCTCCTAAAGTTAGAACATGGCATTCATTACATCAAGATGGGAAATTTTAAACTAACAAATGTAACGTAGCTAAAATTACCTATCCAAATCTCGATGAAGAAAAAATTGTTTATAACATGATCATCATATACAATTATCTAATCTCTATTACTACAGACAAAGGTCTTGAAACAACAGATCTGGCAAGGAGTGAATGGCTCAGGGAATTGGGGAACAGAGAACTTCACCTGAAGATCAATGGTTCAAATCTACCCACTGCAGTAGCCAACCTAAAAATCAATATTATCTAATGGCTATTTAGCTGTCTATGTGAATAAGATGAACTTTCAGTATACTTCCTAGTGATCAACTATTCACATCATAACTGACAACATTTTTAAGAGTCACAAGGAAAGGACCAAAGTTCACACTTAAGTATCCCTTCATGCTTAGGAGGCAGACTTTCCAGAGGGCCTGACCAGTGGGCCTGAGACACATTCGCAGGGAAAATAGCTACTGTACTTGACCCTATGAACAGATTTCAGCTGTCAGATTTCACTTTTCACAACAACTCAACTAGTCAAAGTGATCACTGGATACAAATTGTAGCTTCTTTTTAAGTAAGTCTTTTACCTTGCATACTAAGTTGAATGGCTCTACGAAGATCAGCTTCTTCATCTTCCATATCAATTTCCTGTTTACTTAGAGCAAGGGCTCTTTGGAAATTCTCCTCATCTTCATCTAACATGCCTGTTCCATCAAAGGGATGGTTAACGTCTAAAGCTTGTTCCAGGTCAGTTTTTTGCACCCTGCAGAATAGATATCTCATTGCAATCAGCCATAGATAACATTTTCATTTGAATCTCATAATAAAGAATAATACTTTGCGTTGATTTAGCTCTGCATTTTCAGGGTACTGTAAAAACATTCTTATCTTCACAACACATCATCTGAGGTAGTTAAATATTTTCCCCATTTTACAAATGAAAAACAGAAGTACAAAAGAAATTAAGTGATTTGTCCATAATCACAGTGCTAGTCAGTGTCACAGTGAAGGGCAGAACTCAGAAGTTTGTGGTTCCCAGTCCCATGCTCTATCAACTAGGCTATATTGCCACACAAGATCTCTGTTTTTACCTATTGCAGAGCCATGGAAGTTAACCTGTATACCAAGAGAAAGGAACATTTATGAAGTAATTCCTTTGAAAATTTAAAGCTCTCTTAAATCTCTTTAAAAGCAATAAAATTTAATCATGATAAAATGCAACAAAACTATACCAGGCTGACTAGAGTATTTTAAAATGTTTTAAGATTTGGAAACATTTAAGGATTAATGTTGTAGTTGTAGGATAAATCAGAAAATAGCAGCTTTACAACTCAGTGAAATTATAATAGTATATATAATGAATTAGCGGTACCTAATACTACTTTGTAAGTTTACTTAGAAATAAGTGCCTTGGTTGTAGGCATCAGTCACTAAAAAAAATCATGTTCAACACTATTAAAAATAAATCTTTATTTACCTTACCTTTCATCTCTTGATTGTGCAGTCTCTTCCCCAATCAGTTTTGGTCGCTGCATCTGCTGTACCTGAATCATTTGCAGTAGTTGGTCAGCCTCACAATCTGGCAGGTCACCCTTTACAACAAATATAGAATAACCTGGGAATAATAAAAGCAGAAATACTAAGTATAAGGTGTCAGAGTAGCAGCCATGTTAGTCTGTATCCGCAAAAAGAACAGGAGTACTTGTGGCACCTTAGAGACTAACGAATTTTAAATTTGTTAGTCTCTAAGGTGCCACAAGTACTCCTGTTCTTTTTAAGTATAAGGTGTGTGGATTATTAAATACCCTCAACTAAATATACCATGAAATAAAAAAAGATGTAATTTATTACCAGCAATATAATACAGACATTCAATATTAGGCTTTGCCTCTCATTACAAGGATTGTATAGTTATTTCACCGATTCAGTCACAAAACTGATAGACTGGATACAAACACTCTTATAAATAAAGGTTAATTATCTGATTTTAATCATGTGCTTTCAAGCAATGAGGTTTAACATTTGCAAACTAGTATTACCTTCCTGTTGTAACTGAGCCAAGAAAAGTGCAAGGTATGTATCTGATATTAGTTCTGGACCCATCAGGAGAGAGTTCAAGTTAAACCACTGTAATTTGAAAACAAAAAAAGATTTGAGAGAAAAAAATTAGCATGGAATTTATTTGTGGGCAATCTGGTCAATTTCCATGATGAAATATCGGATTTGTAAACTAATCATGTGAAATATCAAATTCCTTTCAAGCACAAGAGCACAACAACATAAGTATTGCTACCTGCCACCCTTCAAACAGTCCTCAGCTAACACAAACTCTGAAACTTTACAGGAAAATTTATGTAACTTCAGGCTCCCTCCCTACTAATATCAGGAGAGTTTAAAGGGGAGAAATTTGAACAATTTTTATGTCCTGGTTTCTGCTGTTACTTTATGATACTGTTTATTCTGGTTTGCAATATTTGTTCTTGGAGATTGTCATTCGATACACTGAGGGTTTTTTTCCTTCTGTCACTTCACCATAGATTCATATTTTTAGTGGAGAGTGGACAGAATCCCTATTTAAAGAGATGGCTGAAGAAATAGTTGAGTATTTTCTGTTAAGAATATGCATAACAGTGCTGCCTTTAATTGCGGATACTATAAAAAAGATTGCTTTAAACATAGGTAACTGGTTTCTCTACATGTATTTTAAAGATAATTATATCAACCAAGTTCACTTGGAATGCTTTTATTATCTATGTCACAAACACAGCCTATATTAGGAGGAGGTGAGACAGGATGTAAAGATGTGTCCGTATAAATCACCGCACACACACTCCAAAAGGCCCATTAGTCATTAATAGTAATTCTGGTAATAACTGAAAATGTATCCAATTTGGGGAGAGATGGATATTATAGGGGCCATTAAAACTATCAGACATATCTCTTGACACTATCTTGAATAAATGCAAGTGCTTGAAGAAAAATTCTTCACAACACCCTTCCATTGTGCTAAAATCATGACCTTCCAGAACCACTTCAGATGGCAACAGAATTCAGTTTCCATTCCATACAATTCTTGGCCAAGCTACTGAAACTGTCAACAAGAATACTAATTAATATATAAGTATATTCTTTGTGATAGAGGCTAATGTCCATTGATAGCTAGAATGAGACTATTAACTTATTTCAGATGCTATTGAACCACCAATTACTTTTGGGCCCAATCCTGCAACATTTTAAACACATTTAAATGAAATCAGTGGACTCCTCGTGTCCTTGAAGTAGAACATGCATGTGTCTGCAGGATTGGGGTCTTGATTACTGTTCACCAGGAATGGAGTCATCAAATAGTTCCATATCATACTGCCAACATTCTACCCCATTCACGCCACAAAATTTCCTCTTAAAAAAAAAAAAAAATCCAACCCCAAATGGTGTGTGGGCCAAGGGTGTGGGGTAGAGATAAAAAGGTATGGTATTGATATATGTACATGAGTGTTGGGCTTTTAAAATGAGGAGTGAGGAAAAAACCTTTTAGAGAGAATAGTTTTACTTTATAGTATAACAAATAATAGAGATGAAAGAGTCAAATTAATGTTTCCTTCATTGAGCTAATCTATTTTGTCTAGGGATGGATTATTAACTTATAAAATGAATCCTCCTTCTGTATTACTCTCTGAATAGACACCAGTAAGTGCTTTATTGTGATTATAAACTATATAACATCTAAAAAAATAAAGTTTTAAACCCAAATTTAAAAAAATAAAAATCTCTGTGACAGAATAATAGTTTATCAAAAAAAATCTGAACTACACATACACATTTAGCCTGGAATGCTCTCCCCATCAGATAACAGTTTTAAAGTGAACACTAATGCCCTTTCAATATAAAACATGAAAAAATGCTTACAAAATGAACATAATTATTTTTAAACTAATCCTGAATGTAAAGTCTGTAATGTATTCCCCATTTTCACCATTTACGCCAGATGTCATTTCCACTTGAAATAAACCACAATATAAGTGCATTTTTGAAATTTGTATTGGCCTGAAAAATCATTACTAGTATAAGGCATCACTTGCAGCCAAACCACTTTGAGCTTTCATTTTTTAACAAAGAGGCTTTATCGGGAATGTTTGGTGCATTCAATGAGCCTTTTCAGTAGAAAATAAAAAGCTTCAGTGCCATGTTAAGGGCAGTGGCCTGGTTAGTTTCATCTACAAAAAGTTTACTTATTTTTTCTCATCTGGATGTCAGCATGGCTGCAGCTTCCAAAAACCTTATTCATGGCTATGTGAGCTCCTTTCCATTATTGTAGATGTTTTTACAAAGCTTACTTCAGGAGTGTTTTACACATTTTAAAAATGTAGTTTAATTATATGAAGAATTATAGAATGTCATCTAGAAAGGGACAACTTTGATTGGCATTCTATCTCTGTGTGTTAAAAAGACCCAACTTTTTCTGATCTATCTGGCTGTTTGGTTATGAACACTTCATACAGGCACACCATCCCTTATTTTTAGCAATCTATTTTACTATTTCTAATTTAATTCCTCCTAAAAGCTCTCCTAAATCCTACAGAGTTAAAAGCTGTGTTTCTACTTTTCCCCACTACAATCCCTACTAATATCTCTCCAATGTTGGCAAACATAAATATTCAATGGTCTAATGTGTTAATCACATTTCCCATATACTGACTAGCCATTTTAGATGCACAGAAACTACCTGCAATTTATTTTACAGTATCAATGTAATAGTATTGTGTAATGCAGCAAAAACAAAAAAAATTTGACCCTCAGTACCTCTTTATAATGTATAAAGATGACCTCAAACTTTTTTCAAAAGTATGATTTTCTGTCTGTCTGTTACATTAAGTCTTCTCTCTTTTCTGACAAATATGTAGTGATGTCACATAAAGCTGTAACCAGAGCTGCAGCTCTTGCTTCCTATAACAGCATGCAGATTCTTAGGGGATCTGATCCAGAGTCCTTCCTTAAGCCAACATTAATGCCAAGCTGCCTGGCAGCATTATGATATAAATAAGCGTTTACCCAACCTATTTATTTGGGATAGTCTAAAACAGATTTCAACCCAGACCTTCAAAAGATGAAAGGCTAGCACATGGCCTCATTGCAACCATTCTTTCCACCCCCGCTCTGAAGTCAACTTTTAAATAAAAAAAGACAAGGTCACCTGTTTTCCTAACTTTCGAACTGTAAACCAGTGTTCCTTATAATTACAAATAAATGATCTTTCATTTCTGTAAAAAGAAAAACACAAGGTATACATAAAATTAAATTCTCTAATATTGGAGCTCATACTAACTTTTAAATTATTTGTTATCACTAATTTATAAATAAATTACAATATTTTGGCAATACAACATAACTATTGATGCTATAGAGTGTTTAAATTGCTCTTATTATAATTCATAATATTTTAAAGTGTTCTTTTTAATTATGTAGTGAAGTCTATATAAACCTGGTAATGTCATAAAGCATATATGACATCACATGCAACTCAATCAGCATACTGTGATGCCACAGATACTGAGATGTCATGAAGGCTCAGAGGACAGATCATATTAATCCCCAAAATATGAAAAATAAAAGGCTGAGGGGATAAAAAAGGAAACATCAAAATGTAACAGAGCTTGAAATAGTAATTTTAAAAGAAACTTAGTAATCACAGATTTTCAGCGTTACTTTTCTGTAAAATGAAAGCAGGGTGCTAAAAAGAAAGTCTTACATAGGGTCGATCCCGAGCCTCTGATACTCTGGGCTGTTGAAGAGGATTAGTTCTAAACCCCAAACTTTCAAGGCATTGCTTATAACCTGTCAAAAAATAGTACTTTTCATGAGACAAACCAGTCAACTCCAAATTTAAGCAATGCAACCATTTTAATCACTATGAACAATTATATTGTTTTCATAACGCTGTGCTTTTAAAAAGTTGATATAAAAAGGAAACCTCGGGATCATAATATTCAAAATGCAACCTTCATGAATCTACGATCACCACACAACAGAGATAGCATATACAACAAAGATGAATTACAAAACTAGAGTTTGACAGAGAGATTCTAGCAAAGCACACCTCCTGGATTATGTTATAGCCTTATATCCAGCTGTCTGCTTATTACCTTCTTACTTTCACCCTCAAAACTACATTATTAAAACTGTTTGGCATTTTGCAGCCATTAAGATAACACAAGAAACAATATTAGGGCTACTGTTAACATATTTAGGGATCATCTACTCTCATCCTTTTTGAAGACATGTCCACTAAGACTTTTAACTCACATAGGTCCTTAACTTTGCCACTACAAACTAGAACTATGTTGCAACAAGGTCCCTGACTCCATTACAACTTGGGTAGACCTGAGCATCAAGGTTTACCAAAAACCCTAGACTTCCAACTAAGGATCTCCCTAATATCTGCTAAAGTTCTAACTCATTTTAAACATTATTCAGTACGTTTGAAATTTATGGATGGAATCAAACCTCTTAACACTACTCACTTAAAGCTGTTTGGGATAAAGGTATGGGGAGATTAACAATTCATCCTCACCTCAGCCAGTCAACAGTGTAGCAAGTGAGCAAAGAGATGGAGGAGCAAGAAAGTAGAAACAAAGTAGAAAGCAATTTTTATCTGCTTCAAAGTCACTGCAGCACAATTAGGAAGTAAGGAATTGCCATGCTGGCAATGGCAGAAAATATATTTCAGAAATGAGACTGGGAAGTAAAATGAGCAAATAAAGAGAGCCCTGTGCATCTACAAAACAGAGTAATGGGAGCAGAAGCTTACATGAGAGTATGGAAAGAAATACTGACCAACATACATGGGGGCCACAAGAAGAGAAACAAAAGGTACAGAACATGACCTAGGGATCCAATATAGGTAAAAGCTACTAGTCTGGGATTTTTATGGGGTTTTTGGTTCTATTACAGGTATTTAAAAGATTAATTACATATTAAGTAAATTCCCTTTTTAAAAATAAACTTTTTTCCAAATAGCTCTAAAGTTTCAGAAGTGTGAAATAAAGCCTTTGGAACACAGATTCTGCAGCTTTTTCATTATGCAGATCACTTTGTAAGAGAAGGATTCTCTCACGGACCCCGTAATCACCAGGAAGGCCTCTGTAATCCATAATTTAAACCCGATGCTCTAGAAAGCCAGAACTCTCCTGCATTAATCCTACACACTAGAAATTGGAGAAGAATTACTAAATGCTATCAAAATTATTTTGAAGAAAATATATATAATGCAACTGCACTGGTTGTAAGAAATTGTCCTGAACACAGAGTCATGCTTACTTGAATGGAGAAGTAGCCACTATCATCCATATTTCCAGAAGGCTGCTGTTCAATTTGGGTGGAGGAGAAAAAGAAAAATTGTGATTAGCTTACACTTCTAAAAAGGTTAATGAGAAATCAAGTGTAAAAATAAATACAATCGTGTACACCTACAACAGAGACTCTGTACACCCATTTAGAAAAAGACTGCTTGCCCTGCCCAAAATACACTTTTAGTGAAAAAACACAATCCCATATCCTTCTCTCCACGCCTGTAAAATGGGGATAATATATTTCTCATTGAAGTGTTGTGATGCTTTAGTAGTGAATTAATGTTTGTAAATGCCAATTTGACATACTTGTATGAAAAAGACTATAAAATTGAAAAGCATTATCACTTGAAAATGGAGCTTCCATAACAAAGCAAGAATGACAAATTTGTAAAACAAAAAATTATGTTTCAAAAAAGCAAACAGATGCCAAGCAATCTAATGTTAAAATGATTGTTACCTGTAAAAACGTTCTGTACTCTTCACTAGAAACTCCTCCCTCCGCCATTCTTATTCTCTCTTCCTCATCTAGCTGCTGTGCAATAGAAGATAACTCCACAGGGCTAAAATATTCCCCTTGTAGTAAGTTATTCAGACAGTGCTGAGCGCACAATGAGCCTTCTTGCTAAAATTGTAAAGGAACAAAAATATATCTAAGAATTGTTTTAATGTTTTGTTATATCTTCATTGCTTCAATCATCTATGTTTGCCAAGGGAGTATATTTACCCCCAAGCTTTCCTACAGTGCATTACTTGTCTGACTTTAGAACACCCAAAAGATCATCTCTGACACATGCATACGGACCCCGGTTATTTCTCAAGAAATGTAAACATTTTTAGTCCGTAAGTTTACTTTTAATTTAGAAGGTAATTTAAGAATTGGCCAGTGACAGAAGTCTCTGCAGACTGATAAAGTCACAGAGGGACTCCAACAATTCTTGCAAACAACAGCAGCTACAGACTTCATTCTCTCCCAGGCAGCCTCCACATGTGACTCTCTCATTCTCCATACCAGTTGCACTTGTCTCATATAAATCTCCCTCTTTTCCCTCCACAACAGTGCCATGTACCCCTAAGTCGCTTCCCCCATCATGGATATACACATGTAGTCAGGGGCGGGCAAACTTTTTGGCCTGAGGGCCACATCAGATTTCCAAAATTGTATGGAGGGCCAGTTAGGGGAGGCTGTGCATCCCCAAACAGCCAGGTGTGGCCCGGCCCCCGCCCCCATCTGACCTCCCCTGCTTCTCGCCCCCTGATGGCCCCCCCGGGACTCCTGCCCCATCCAACCCCCCCGTTCCCTGATGGCCCCCCGGGACTCCTGCCCCATCCACACACACACACCCCGGTTCCCTGTCCCCTGATCGCCCCCAGAACCCCCGCCCCTGACTGCCCCCCACCGCCCCATCCAACCCCTCCTCTCATTCCTGACTGCCCCCCCCAGGACCCCTGCCCCATCCAACCACCCCTTCTCCCTGCCCCGACCGCCCCCGGAACCCCTGCCCCTTGCTGTCCCATCCAACCCCTCCTCCTTCCTGACTGTCCCCTGGGACCTCTACCCCCATTCAACGCCCCTGTTCCCCACCCTCTGACCACCCCGACCCCTATCCACACCCCCACCCTCTGATCTCTATCCAACGCGCCCCCTTACCGCGCTGCCTGGAGCACCGGTGGCTGGTGGTGCTACAGCTGCACCGCCCGGCTGGAGCCAGCCAGGCCACTGCGCAGCACAGAGCACCGGATCATGCCGGGCTCTGCAGCTGCGCTGCCCCAGGAGCTCACAGCCCGGCCGCCCAGAGCATTGTGCCGGCAGCGCAATGAGCTGAGGCTGCGGGGGAGGGGGAAAAGCAGGAGAGGGGCTGGGGGCTAGCCTCCCAGGCCAGGAGCTCAGGGACCGAGCAGGGGGGTCCCGCAGGCCGGATGTGGCCCACAGGCTGTAGTTTGCCCACCTCTGCACATAGGCCACAAAGACTTTGCAAGTTTGCCTCAAACTGATGCATCTATTAAATGCAGACATGTATACACTTCCAAATATACACATGTATATAATATGTGTTTTCCAAAGTAAATAGATATGCATACTTTTGTATTTTTTTACCTTAAGAACTTCAGTATACATGCACTCTCAATCATATGAAAGGCATTCCCATTTATTAGGGACTCTTGAAAAAGTTGGTTTTGAAGATTCTATGTGAATCAGATTTGAAATATAAGTCAAAAAAGCATCAAGAAAATATTTAAAAGAGAATGATAGGGAAATTTTTAAACCCCACCTCATTGAAAGTCCTCATGGGATTTGCCCCAAATATTTTTACCATCCTAAGCTAATATACAAATGTGTGCAAATGTTCAGGTGTACTGAGGTTTTTCTTTGGTGACATTTAAGGGTGAATTGAGGGGCAAGCAGGGGAAGGAAAGAAAATTAGGCTCATAATTTATAACTGAAAGTAGCTTTAACCTTAATAAAGGAGACATAGCATTCTTTCATAATTATAAGCCTCCTCGTTCAACCTTGTCCTGACATACATTTATGCTCTGGCCATTCATTTATTAGAGCTTTCAACATTTTACCCTAGAGCAGAACTTCCTGTCTTTTACAGTACTGGCTCCTTAGGCATGGAGCTTGCCCCCCTTAGACTTATCTGAAAAGGTATCCTTACCTACCTTTTAAAATTATATTATTTTCTTTTCACACATGATTTTATGGTTAAGAATTTGATGTGTGTGTATTAAAGTACTTTAACTGTAAATACCTAAGCAGCATTCTGAATACTTTGGAGGAAATGGGGGCACTACCAGTGAACTGAAATGTAGATCTTTATTAAAAATGATGTTACATACACACTTGTTCAAATTTTTCCCCAGTGAAGGCAATTAAAATTGAGGGCATGGTAAATAATGAAGAGGAAAGATCACTGATTCAGAGTAATTTACATCACTCCGTGAACTGGCCACAAGCAAACAATATGCATTTTAATATGGCTAAATGTAAATGCATACATCTGGGAACAAAGAATGTAGGCCATATTTTCAGGATGGGGGACACTATCCTGCAAAGCAGTGACTAAAAAGATTTGGGTGTCAGGGTGGATAATCAGCTGAACATGAGCTCTCAATGGGACGATGTGGCCAAAAGAGCTAATGCGATCCTGGAATGCATAAACAGGGGAATCTCGAGTAGTAGTAGAGAGGTCATTTTATCTCTGTATTTGGCTCTAGCACAACCACTGCTGGAATACTGTGTCCAGTTCTGGTGCTCACAATTCAAGAAGGGGGTTGATTAATTGAAAAGAGTCCAGAGAAGAGCCATGAGAATGAGTAAAGGATTAGAAAACATGCCTTATGGTGACAGAATCAAGGAGCTCAATCTATTTATCTTAACAAAGAGGAGGTTTAGGGGTGACTTGCTCACAGTCTATAAGTACCTACATGGGGAACAAACATGTAATAATGGGCTCTTCAGTCTAGCAAACAAAGGTATGACACAATCCAGTGGCTGGAAATTGAAGCTAGACAAGTTCAGACCAGAAATAAAGCATACATTTTAATGCCGAGAGTCTTTAACCATTGGACCAATTTACCAAGGATTGTGGTAGATTCTCCATCATTGTCAATTTTTAAATCAAGATAGAAAAACATCCAAACAGATAAATTCCAGGAATTATTTTGGGGAAGTTCTATGGCTTGTTCTATACAGGAGGTCAGACTAGATTATCACAATTCTGGCTTTAGAACCTATGAAAATGATTATTACAACAGAATAAAAATATATGTTGCTTACTGCTTAAGATATCTAACTAGATGTTTTACCTCTACCTAAGTAATCTAACTACTAAATTGTCAAAGAGCAAGTATGTTTCCATATATGTAAACACATTTCCTGTACTGCAGGCTGATGTAAAATATTTGCAGTTTACACCACTTACAAAATAATTGCCATTTATTGTGTAACTTAGATTAAAGGGCAGAGTATAAATAAGAATATCAATCTTCAGCAGAATTACTTCTATCATTCCAATCCTATAAAGCCATCTTTCCACAGTAATTTATTTTAAAACAAAAAATGTTGGGGTTTTTTTGTTTGTTTTTTAAATTCCCCTTCTACACATGGCAGTCTAGGTCAGATAGGAACTAGTTTGGTTTAGTTACTATATCTCTTGGTAACTAGAGCAACCTGCATTTACAAAAGGAAATTTATTAAGAATGACAATTTGAAAAACTATTATTAATAATAAAGATGGCTAAAGAAACTAAATTACAGGAAGTACATAAAGACGACACTAGAATGTGATGGTGTGATATAGAGATTATTGTTTAGGAGTTTGAAGGCAATCATGAGTAACAGAGGTACTTGTCATCTGAAACAAAATATTTAACACTCATTTTCAGAAGCACTGTACAGCTATTAAATAAATTTTAACAACACCCACTTTGAAGTAAGTGTCATAATCTCCACTCTGTACATGCAGAAACCGAGGCAGAGAGAGGTTGTCATGAGCAAAAGCACAGCAAGACAGTAGAAGAAGTCAGGAATAGAGCTCATATCTCCTGCTTCCCATCTTTATGCTCATCTCTCATTTAAGCCATGCTGCCTTTCTCAAGAGAGTAAAAACTTCATTCTGCACGATCAAATTCTTTCTGTATTTATCTTTAGAGGACCAAGAGAAAAAAAAACAGGAAATAAAACTCAACATGAAAAAGTTGCTCTATAAAAGGAAGTAATATTGACACTTGTTTGTGACCACTTTTGAAGCTTTATAGACTTATTTGTCCAGCCATTTTTTTAAACCATTCAGCTGCTAGGGACTTCAGTATTGGCAAGGTATGCCAGCAGACTGGCCGAGAAATCGGATTCCCCTTCTGAAAGGGGCCTAGATTTCTTCGAAGATGTATTTAGTTGAACTATCATTTCACCTGGCTCTCCCCTTCCACTTGCGAGGAATCTTATCAGCACAAAGATGCTATAGTAAGGGGCAATATGACATCAAGATCAATTGGATAAGAGAATTTAGTCAGGGGGTTGTTTTCGGGAGTGTTTAAAAGACAGTTTCAAGTACTACCCTACTCTAAGTCATCCACGGGATGGAGAGAACTCACCAGCCCCGGCTCCCAGCTTCTGGCTACAGCTCCCCTCACTTCCCCCGCCCCAGGCTACCGCTCCACTACCACCTGCCAACCCCCTCCCCGCCATAGGCTACCGCCCCTTCCTTTCCCCTCCCAGCCCAGCCCCAGCTCCTACTCAAGCCTCTGAAATACCCACCCCCCGCATCCAACCGCTGGCGCTCTGCGGTGCCCTCCCCCACTCCCGAGTCCCCGGCTCAACCGTACGCGCCCTCTCCCCCCGCCGCACACTCACCCTCTCATGGAAGATGGCCTCCATGTTTATTTGTCCCAAGCCAGCAGCAGCCTCCACCTCACGTGACCACATCCCAGCCCCACAGCAGCCAATCATCGCAGCTGCCCCGCACCCCCTCGCCCTCTGCCCACCACGTGATCTTACCCCGCCCAATAAACCGCGGCCTCTCCAGCTCCGTGACAGTCATGTGATCACAACATCAGTGCTTGCGCTGGAGTCCTGGGGGCGGGGTTGCGGGAGCCAGAAGCGGCTTCGGGACTCGAATAGCTGGTGCGGTCGCCCCCCGTCGGCTGTCGGGGGAAGTGGGGGCTGGGTGCCGCAGTCAGAGCCGCAGCCCCGAGCTCATCGCTGTGGTCTGAAGAGCTTTGTTAGCGCTTACAACCACTTGATTGCCCTGTGTGTCACAAGCCCTGTATTGCCAGGAACTGATGGGGATTATCCCGCACCTCCGTAGTATTTTAAGGGGGCAGGGTTGTGCTTTGTGAGTAGCAGAGTCTGTTCTATTCCTACAGGTGGCAGGCCCTTCCAAAATCCACCTTGTTCAGGGTGGTGATTATTAAGTCTTAGCCAGTTTTGTCACAATGCCCATATACTATTCTACACTAACTCAGTCAGAAATGAATTTAATTCACTTTCAAAGCAGATTATCCCATTTCTCATAACTGCCCATTTAATTGAAGGGAAGAATTGTCAGCTAGTTTCAGGGCACTTTAATGAAATTAGGTGGAAAAGCGCCTCCTGGTGAAGGCATGCCCTGTGTCAGGCTATATGAATTATGAAGGGCATTTCCTACTCTCTCCTTTATCTGTACAAATGGTGGCATTTGAAAACTAATGATTATGACTTATTTTTTTAATTAAGTGAACCAGCTGTCCGCTCTGCTGACCTAAACCTCTTTCTCTATCTGCTTTCCCCAAACTCATTCATTTCAACCACTATAAGGAGGATGCAAATGAAGAGGATGGAGAAAGGGAGTGAGTGGTTACCACTGATACCTCATTGCCAAGTGGCAGCATGGTGCTGAGCTAGGCATAGGCAACAACCAGTCATAGACACACTGGTACATAAAACATTAGTATTGAAGGCAAGGGAGGAAAAAGAGGGGAGAGTAGAACACAGAGAATTTGGAGGGGAGGGGCTCCAGCAGGAGGGTGGGGCTAGAATGGAGCAAAAGGGAAAAGAGAAGAGACAGGAGGAGACATTTTTAAAGATTGCAGTAGCATCAGAAATGTGTTAGGCTCTTGCCAAACATGAGGAAGGTACAACTCCTTTCCCAAATTTACTGGGACAGAACAAATCTGATCATGCTCATCCTCAGTAAATAGGATAAGGGAGAAAGAATCAACCAGCAAAGACAAAATTATCTGTTTTGTCTTATACCTGTATTGCCCATCACTGTAATATCTGAACACTAAGGCACTCAGATACCAGAATGATAGGCATTAACTGATCAGTCCTAGGATGAACTGTTGGCTAGTGCATGTAATTTATGCTACAAATCCATCAGGGCATTGTTTAGGTGGATGACATTTCTAGAGTACAGAAAAATAGCTCTTCCAAAGGAGCATGTCCTAACAGTAGGTGCTTAATTTGGAGTTTTCCTTTCCAGATGAGCTGTCCCAGTAGTCTACCACTTCATCTGTGGTAAATTATGAGCTTTCTGGGAGGCAATACATTCTGATTACTATCCTATTCTGGCTCTGTCATCATTTAGGAGGAGGAAACAGAAGTGGGAAGTACGGACGCCACTGCATAATGACTAAAAAGTTTCATCTCCAGTGCTCTCTATAGCATCATTCTAAATTCAACACCACAGGGATCTTGGTGTAAGTTAATACTGATACCAAAACTCATTGAAAACCATTGAGGATTGTGGAACAGCAGCAGTTGGGGAAACCATAGGCTTTTTATAGCAGACAGACTGGGAGGTATTGAACCAATATGCAGATTTATGGAAAGCTGCTAGTTTGAGAGGTGACCCTTCCATGTTCTGAAGCAGAGTAACTACTGTGAGAAAAATCAGTCAAACTCTATGACTGAATTCAAGGCTGTGTTTTAAGCACCTTTACACCACACCACAATCATAAAGATCTGGAAAGCAGCTGGAACCCCTCCCTCACAGCCAAAAATTTCCTCAGCACAGGGAATTCCTTGAACAGCATAGGGTTGTTTATTATTTGTATTGCTGTAGCACCAAGGAAGCCCATCATGGACCAGGATCCTGTTGAGCTAGGCATGTAGAAATACAGAACCAAATATCCTCCAGTCCTTGGCTCCAGCCGCTTACCATCTAACATAATGCCCCTATGTCCCTACCCCTCACAGGCCTTGGGGCAAAGAACAGGCTGCGGCATGGCCCATAGATGGTTCCTGGAAGTTTCCATAAGTTACAGCAGTTCCAAAGGCTGCTCCACTTTATCCTTGGTGCATGGCAAACACCTATCCATGTCCAGAATTTGCAACATGCCATAGGACAAAAGCACCTGTGCCCAAGCCATGGCTGCACCCTCTGAACTGCTCAGAATACCTACACGAGAACAATAAGGAAGAGGACCAACAGGTCTCTCTACTTTATAATGATTTAGGGCAAACCCACACACTTTGTTATAACTAACTCAGTATTTAAATAAAAAAACCAAAAAAACACAAATTAATTTCCATTTCACTGTTAATGCTTCCCCCCCTCCATTTTACTCAATTAAAATACAAAGAGACTAGTCTTAGCCTTGGAGGGGGGTTTTGTTCATTTGGTTTAAATGGGAGTGCCTTTTATATAGTTTTTCTGCTTATTGTGTGCATTTTTTCCTTAGGAACAAGACTTTTTAGAAAAAACATTTCTGAACAGGATATTTATTAGTCATATGATTAAATTGTCCTTCAAAATGGAAATGGAGAACAGGGAATTAAATTGGCAGAATTAAAGCCACTGAAAAGCGTAGTTTATTTTTTTTTTAATACTAGGAATGAAGTGTATCAAGTGTAAAAACATGGTTCCTGTTCCACAGATGACACAGTAACAAAGACATCATCCACTTGTTATACACGCTAATTTAATTACATGGAAGCATTTCCCATTTCACAGACAGCCTTTATCTCCAGGTAACTTCTTCACCGGGTTTCAATTCCCTGTGTGGAGGGGCGAAAAAAATGAGGATAGTAAAATTAGGTAGTGCACAGGACTTTTGCAGACTGTAATCTAAATCTATGAACAATAATGTAAGTTAGTGTTTCACTAGCTTAATTGTGAGGTATTTTGTAACAGATCTTGATTTCTATATTAACTTTTAAGAATAATTAATATCTTTGACTTCCCTTGTAACTGATAATCAAAAACTATATCATTTGAACAACTCGTCTTCTCCTTCCTTCCCCTCTTCTTAAAGGTTAGGATCATTTTTTTCTGTGTACTTTCCTTATGATACTCTTGACTCCCTTCCACATTAGGCCCCCCCCACAATGAGCGCTGTGGAGAAGATCCTGCAGCAGCATATCTCTATTGACTAAAATGGGACTTCATGGCAGGGTCCACTCACATTGGAGTTGAGCTCATTGGACAACTGTGGCCTTAGTTATCAAGTGTGGCCAATGAGGGCTTGAAGTAGATACTTTAGGAGCATGACAAAGACACCCATAAAATAGTTAGAAGAGTTGCTAGAAAGCAACTGAACAAGGTGCATCTTCAGGGCTCCCTGCCCCTTTTAGTCTGAAAGCAAAAGATGGAATTAGGAGCCAATCCCTTATGTATGTGTGGTTCCCAACAAAGTCAATGGGACTTCAGTACCAGGCAAACTGGTTGAAACTATAGTAAAGAACAGAATTATTGGGAAAGAGTCAACACAGCTTTTGTAAAAGGAAATCATGCCTCACCAATCTATTAGAATTCTTTGAGGATGTCAACAAGCACATGGACAAGGGTGATCCAGTTGATATAGAGTACTTGGACTTTAAGAAAGCCTTGGACAAGGTCCCAAACCAAAGGCTCTTAAGCAAAGTCAGCAGTCATGGGATAAAATGAAGGTTCTCTCATGGATCAGTAATTGAATAAAAGATAGGAAACAAAGGGTAGGCATAAGTGGTCAGTTTTCACAATGGAGAGAGATAAAAAGCAGGATCCCTGAAGGATCTGTACTGGGACCAGTGTTCCCTCTAATTTTTTATGTTCATGTGCAGAATGAATTTTGTTATGTGCACCAATATGGAGGTGGTGTGTGACATCACCTTCATATTAGTGCTAACAAAATTCATGCAGTGAGGGTGGGACCAAGGGGTTCGGAGTGTGGGAAAGGGCTCAGGGCTGGGGCAGAGGGTTGGGGTGCGGGGAGGGTGAGGGCTCTGGCTGGGGGTGCGGGCTCTGGGGTGGGGGCGGTGATGATGGGTTTGGAGTGCGGGAGGGGGCTCAGGGCTGGGGTGTGGGGGGATGGGGGATCTGGCTGGGGGTGTGTGCTCTGGGGTGGGATTGGGGATGAGGGGTGCAGGAGGGGTTCAGGGGCTGGGCTGTGGGCAGGGCTCCTTTCCCCGGCAGCTCCGGTGGGGCTGCGCTGGGCCGTGGGAGGGGCTCCTCTCCCTGCCTGTCTGCGCAGCCCTTGAGAGCCCGCTGCGCAGCCGCACAGCTTACAGGGAACATAGACTGTGACCTGTGCTGTTCAACATATTCATAAATGATCTAGAAAGGGGATGAACAGTGAGGTGGCAAAATTTGCAGATGATACAAAATTACTCAAGATTTTAGTCAGCTTTGGACTTATCTAATAGTGACAAATGGATCTCTGTCACTGGGCAACAAAATGGCAGATGAAATTCAGTATTAATAACTGCAAAGTAGGGGTGTCAATTAATCGCAGTTAACTCATGCAATTAACTCAAAAAATATTATTGTGATTAAAAAATTAATACTAATTAATCGCAGTTTTAATTGCACTGCTAAACAATAGAATACCAATTGAAAATTATTAAATATGTTTGATATTTTTCTATGTTTTCATATATATTGTATTATGTTGTAATTGAAATAAAAGTGTATATTATTATTACAAATATCTGCACTGTAAAAAAAGAAATAGTATTTTTTCAATTCACCTCATACAAGTACTGTAGTGCAATCTCTGTCATGAAAGTGCAACTTACAAATGTAGATTTCTTTTTTTTGTTACATAACTGCACTCAAAAACAAAGCAATGTAAAACTTCAGAGCCTACAGGTCCACTCAGTCCTACTTCTTGTTCAGCCAATCACTAAGGGCTTGTCTACACCCAGCCGCTAGTTCGGCGGCTGGGGATCGAAGTTCCGAGTTCGATTTATCGCGTCTGGTCTGGACGCGATAAATCGAACCAGGAAGTGATCCCCGTCGACTGCGGTACTCCAGCTATACGAGAGGAGTACCGCGGAGTCGACGGGGAGCCTGACCGCCGCGTGTGGACCGCGTCTGAACCGCGGTAAGTTCGAAGTAAGGTATGTCGAATTCAGCTACGTTATTCACGTAGCTGAATTTGCGTACCTTACTTCGACTTGGGGGGTAAGTGTAGACCAAGCCTAAGACAAACAAGTTTGTTTACATTTACAAAAGATAATGCTGCCTCTTCTTATTTACAAGGTCACCAGAAAGTGAGAACAGGCATTTGCATGGCACTTTTGTAGTGGGCACTGCAAGGTATTTACGTGCCAGATATGCTAAACATTCGTATGCCCCTTCATGCTTCAGCCACCATTGCAGAGGACATGCTTCCATGCTGATGACATTCATAAAAAAATAATGCATTAATTAAATTTGTTACTGACCTTTGGGGAGATCTGTATCTCCCCTGCTCTGTTTTACCTGCATTGTGCCATATATTTCATGTTATAGGAGTCTCGGATGATGACCCAGCATCAGACATGCCAAACACGTGGAAAAACAAACAAACAGAAATTGGGCTTGTTTTTTGCTTAATTGGCTTGAGAGTTCCTTGTTGGCTAGTTGTTGATTCTTCTCTTCCCCCTCCTCCTCCCCCCCAGCTCGCCACTTGCCCCTGCTTGCCGAGAGCCGATCAAAAAAAGAGTCAGGGGTGCACAGTGGGCCCACCACAGTCCCAGACTGCACGCTGGGGGATCTAGTCATATAGAGTGTTGGGGTTCTTAGGATTTGGCTTGTTTTGGCCTCGTTTTGAAAGGAGATTAGCTTGATTTTTGGCTTATTGTGAAAGTCAGGTGCTTATTTACCGTGTGAAATTTGGCAACTGTGCCCAGCACATGTTGTTCATTTTAAGAACACTTTCACAGCAGATCTGACAAAACGCAAAGAAGGTACCAATGTGAGATTTCTAAAGATAGCTACAGCACTCGACCCAAGGTATAAGAATCTGAAATGCCTTCCAAAATTTGAGAGGGACGAAGCGTGGAGCATGCTTTCAGAAGTCTTAAAAGAGCAACACTCGGATGCGGAAACTACAGAACCCGAACCACCAAAAAGAAAATCAACCTTCTGCTGGTGGCATCTGACTCAGATATTGAAAATGAACATGCATCGGTCTGCACTGCTTTGGAGGGATATTGAGCAGAACCTATCATCAGCATGGACACATGTCCTCTGGAATGGTGGTTGAAGCATGAAGGAAATATGAATCTTTAGCGCATCTGGCACGTAAATATCTTGCAACGCTGGCTACAACAGTGCCATGAGAATGTCTGTTCTCACTTTCAGGTGACATTGTAAACAAGAAGCGGGCAGTATCATCACCTTCAAATGTAAACAATCTTGTTTGTCTGAGCAATTGGCTGAAAAAGAAGTAGGACTGAGTGGATTTGCAGGCTCAAAACTTTTACATTGTCTTATTTTTGAGTACAGTTTTGTTTTTTTTACATACTTCTACATTTGTAAGTTCAACTTTCATGATACAGACACTACACTACAGTACTTGTATTAAGTGAATTGAAAAATACTATTTTTTTTTACAGTGCAAATACTTGTAATCAAAAATAAATATAAAGTGAGCACTGTACACTTTGTATTCTGTGTTGTAATTGAAATCAATATATTTGAAAATGTAGAAAAACATCAAAAAATATTTAACTAAATGGTATTCTATTATTAACAGTGCAATTAATCGCACAATTAATTTTTTGAATCGCTTGACAGCCCTACTGCAAAGTAATGCACTTTGGAAAATGTAAGTCCAACTATACATACAAAGTGATGGGATCTAAATTAGTTACCACCCCTAAAGGAGATCATGGAATCATTGTGGATAGTTCTCTGAAAACATCTGCTTAATGTGCAGCAGCGGTCAAAAAAGCTAACAGAATGTTAGGAACCATTGGGAAAGGGATAGATAAGAAGACAGAAAATATCATAATGCCACTATACAAATCCATGGTATGCTCACACCATGAGTACTAAGTGTAGTTCTGGCCACCCAATCTCAAAAAAGATATATTAGAACTGGAAAAGGTATAGAGAAGGGCAACGAAATTGATTAAGGGTATGGAACAGCTTTCATTTGAGGAGATGAAAAAGACTGACTGTTAAACTTACAAAAGAGACAACTAAAGGGGGAGTGATAAAATGATTAATGGTGTGGAGAAAGTGAATAAGGAAGTGTTATTTAACCCTTGACATTAAACAAGAACCATGGGTCACCCAATGAAATTAATAGGCAGCAGGTTTAAAACAAGCATAAGGAAGTATTTCTTCACACAATGCAGTCACCTTGTGGAACTCTTTGACAGAAGACATTGCTCTGAGTGTCCCTAAACAACTGACTGCCAGAAGCTGGGACTGGAAAACAGGGAATGGATCATTCCCTGTTCTGGTCATTCCCTCTGAACCATATGGCAGTGGCCACTGTCATAAGACAGGATACTGGGCTAGATGAACCATTGGTCTGACCCAGTATGGCCATTCTTATGACATTCACATGGGGAAGGATTGCAAGATTTCTTAACTCCAACTAATTTAAATGGCAGTTGAGAACAATGATCACCTCACTTGAGGTGCCAACGTTTTGCAGGACAGGACCTATAGGGCAAAATCCTGCTTCCTTTGAAGTCAATATCAAAACTCATATCACTTCAATTGGAGCAGAATTAGGCCTTTCAGACAGATTATTTTGTTAAAAAGTTGTGTCATAAACTAACCTTTTAAATAACTTGCTCTTGTTTCTGAAAGCCGATAGTTTTTCATCATTCCTTCTGTCCAGATAGCATCCAATAACAAATCCCATGGGACACAAAATATGGACCCAGTAGTCACGCACAGCTTGGACAAAATTCACCATGATTGCTAGAACGAAGGAAAAACAAAACAAAAAAAACATGGGGGTGGGGGGAGAGGAAGAGAGAGGAGACAAAAATCTATGCAATCATGAACATTTGAAGGCCAGCATATATTTTAACAAGAGAAAAATGCTGCTCTCAGGTCCACACGGAATTCCTGGGAACAGCCGGATACTGGAATCTAGATTGAACTTGCAGTACTGACAGTAGAATTTTGCCCTAAGGGAATAGGAATGCAACCCAATTAATAAACTATTTTAAGGTGATGACAGGTTGAGTATTTGCATTTAAAATTATGACAAAAGTCCCTCACTAGAAATCATCCTAATTATGCACCATTTATGAGGAGTCTGCCTTGTTCTAAAATATAATACTTGTTCTCAACAAACATTTATAAAGCAGGAATTTTCATAGTATTCATCTATAAGTCTAGATGCAATTACTGTAAGGTGGGTGCACAACTGGTTGAAAGGCCATCCTCAAAGAGTAGTTATCAATGATCCACTGTCAAACTGGGAAGACCTATCAGATGGTGACCTGAAGGGATCGGTCATTGGTTTGGTACTACTCAATATTTTCATTAATGACTTGAATGATTGAGCGGAGAGTATTCTTATAAAATTTGCATATGACACCAAGCAGGGAGGGGCTGCAAGCACTTTGAAGGACAGGATTAGATTTCAAATGATCTTGATATTTCAGAGAATTGGTCCGAAATCAATAAGATGAAATTAAATAAAGGCAACCGCAAATCTACACTTCAGAAAGAAAAATCATGCACAAATACAAAATGTGGAATAAATGGCTAAGCAGCAGTACTGCAGAAGAGGATCTGGGGGTTTTAGTGGATCACAAATTGAATATGAGTCAACAGTATGTTGTTGTTGTGAAAAAGGCGACTGTCACTCTGGTATACATTAACAGGGGTGTAAGACATGAAAAAATTGAAAGAACTGGGCATGCTAGGCTAGATTAACAAAGAAATTTAGGCGCCTAGAAAATCAACAGGATTCACAAAACCTGGGTTTGGCACCTAGGCTCCCTATACAATGAAAGAGCAGAGATAGGTGCCTAAGAATTGAATTCACAAAAGGCAGCATGCCAGGACATTCTTTGCCTAAGGTAGCCAACAGGAAGCATACCCCTCTCTCAGAGCTAGGCACCTAAGTCTGGACTGCAGGAAGATGTATCCCTCTGATTGGGATTCTCAACTGCAAATGCTGTCTTGGAGATAGGTACCTATACCACTTTTGCAAGAAGATGGGGGACGGGGGGAGGAGCGGGGAAGGGACGGAATGAAGGGAGAGGACAGAGGGTCACGAGAGGAGAAGCTCTGTCATAACTTTAACCCAATGGTTAAATGGGTTGTGGAGACCCCAAGTTCAAGTCCCTACCCCACTTGAGGGAAATATGTGAATTGAACAGGGATCTGCCATATCTTAATTGAGTGCCCTAGCTACTGGGCTCTGAGATATTCTAATCTGAGGCTCCCTCAATCTTTCCTGTTGAAGCTGTTCCACTGTAGCTAAATATTTTAAACAGTCATTGGAGCAGGGGAACTGGATTCTGGGAGCTTGTCGACACTTACATTTTATAGTGCTCTAACTTGCTGGCTCAAGGGTGTGAAAAATCACCCTCCTGAGCACAGCAAGTCCGAGCGCTTTAAAGCACTAGTGTAGTCAGGCTCCGAGCACTGGGAGCTGTGCTCCCAGCACTAATCCCCTCGTGGAGGTGGATTACCAGGAGCGCTGGGAGACCTCTCTCCCAGTGCTCACACGTGACCACACTCATACTTCAAAGTGCTACCGCGGGAGCGTTTCCATGGCAGTGCTTTGAAGTTTCCAGTGTAGACATACCCTGGGTCTCCCTCCTCCCAGGTGAATACTCTAACCAAAAGGTCACAAAGTCATTCTCATGCTTGCTCTCTCTCTCGGGTCCAATAATTCTTTCATTATTATCCACAATGCAACAGTTTCAAAATAGGGGAGGTCAGAAAGAGGGCAGGGGGAGAAGAGATAGAAAGTGCATGTGTGAGAATGACTGTAGTCTGGTGGTTAAAGCACTCACCACAGAGGTAGAAGATCCATGATTCTGTCCCCCTGCTTCAGTGACTTATTTATTTATTCATACACAGTGGAACATCTTCAATCAGAGAGACTGAAGGAGCCCCACAACAGAATATACCATACTCCAGTAGCTAGGAAGCTCACCTGAGAAGTGGCAGATCCCTGTTCACGTTCCTTCTCCCCTTCAGGCAGAGGGGGGAGTTGAACCAGTGGTCTCCCACCTCACAGATGAGTAACCTAACCACTGGGCTAAAAATTATGACAGCTCCTCCCCACCTCTGGCCATTGTGTGAACTCGTCTATAAGGCCCAATCCGGTAGGTGAGGTCTGAACACACTTACCAGATCAGGCCCCACAAGCAAGTTAAGTGTTCCACTGCCTAATTTAACCTGGTTTGTCCATCACTCTGGAGCTTAGGTGTCCAGGTGCCTGCCATGGGTCTACAATATGAATGCACAGAGGCAGAAACATAAGTGCCTACCTCAAAAATTTAGGTGCCGAGCAATTTTGGTGCCTACAGGATTTAGGGGCATCTGAGTGGGGGGTTTTGTGAATCCCCATGAGGCCTGATTCTGGGATTTAGGAGCCTAAAGTGGCAGCTGGATGCCTAAGTCCTTTTGTGAATCTAGCCCATTTAGTCTAGAGTTGAGAATGCTGAGAGGGACATGATAACACTCTATAAATATAAATAAAAGATTGATCACCATCCTTTTTACAACAATCATTCTCCATAGCCATCAAGGGTAGAACAAGAAGTACCGGTAATCAACTTAATTTACAGCAAGGGAGATTTAGGTTAGAGAGGAAAAACTTTCTAACTATAGGGATAGTTAAGCACTGGAACAGATTACTAAAGAAGGTGGTGGAGGTTATCAAGAACAGGTTAGACAAACGTGTCAAAGATGATCTGGAGGGGTTGGGGGGGGTGGACTAGATAACCTTGAGGTCCCTTCCATCCCTCCATTTCTATAATGCTATGACTACCGCGCAGTTGGTATTTCAGTAGCAACAAGTCAGAAAAAGAAGAAGTTCTATATTAATGGTAAGATCAGACTTCATAAACTCTCTCATGCATGTTTTTCAGAATGACCAAGGAGGAAAGCTGAGGAAGCTGTGGTCCAACAATGAGCTTAAAATGGCTGAACTAGACTTTGCCTACATACAAATCCCAAACAATAAAAACCAAGTAGTATTAACCAGGTACCTTAAAAGCAACAGAAAAATCAAACGCTTTTAAAGTACTACATCAAATGTATTTAGGGACATAAAACTCAGGTCAGAAAGGAGTGTAGTCACCTGGTCTGCTCACAAGCCCAGGCACCCCGGCTCAAGCCTCACCCTGCAAGGATGTGTCTGAAGATTATAACACCTATCCACACGGTGAGTTGTGCGGTACTTGTAAGCTCTCCACAGGAGGGGCCGCGTCCGCCACTCAACTTGTACAGCACCTAGCACGGGGCCCCGGCTGCTCCCAGTAGCATTACGGTATAAGTACCACACGATCTGAGGACGAGAGCCACTCCACACGGGCCCAGTATTATTGAAGTACACCCCCCCACACACACACACTACCCTGGCCCGGCCCACCCCGCGCCCTGGAGCCGTGTTCCCAGGCAAGAAGGCGCCACGGCCAGCGACCAGCACTAGGCAAACGTGCAGCCCCCGGGGCCTCCTCACCCACAGGTCCCGCTCACCTGCCGCCTGCTGTCGGGCCTAGACCTGCCGCCGCCTGCGCCAAGCCCAAGGGCAACTGGGGCCTCTCAAGCTGCTGCTACTGGACAAACCACCAGCCTGGCAGGACAGACCAGGGGAGGGCGGGGGTTAGCTTCCCCCTGGGCGCGTTTATTTCAAACTTCCACGCCGCCGCCCTTGTGAGCCTCTATGGCCCGGCTCCCGTATCTAATGCGGATGCGAGGCCGCAAGGCCCTAGTGTCCCGCTCCGAACTCCCCCGGGCTGCCAATGGTACAGTCCATTCCCCTTTCGCTTTCTCCTACGCCAAACTCCCAAGCCCCACCTCCTCCTCTCAGTTCAAAATGGCGGCGGCTGTGGAAGACACGGGGTCTGACTGAGGAGGCGGCCGGGGTTCCCCCTGTGCTGTCCCCACTGGGTTTAGGGGGCTGGGGGCAGCGGCGTGGGGCTGGTGGTGAGGTAGGTGCTGGGGTGCCTCGCTCCTCTCCCCCAATGTCCCTGGGCAGAGCCTGATACAGCGACCGGCACACTAGCCCCTGGCGAGCAAGGAGGCTCCCCGTCCCAGCGCATGAGGCCTGGGGGACTGGTCTGGGTGGGGGAGCTTATCTAAGCATCCCCCTTGTCAGCGAGAGTGGGGGGAGGCGCTTCCCTATCCCCGGGATGTCTTGGGATTGGGACCCTCCTCCCCGGGAGCGCCGGAGAGCTGGGGGCAGGAGACCCCCGAACGAGGGGGGGCACCTCCAGAGAGAGGCGGGAGTGAGAGTCTGTTCTCACAGAGTGAGGCCGCTGGGGGCAGGTGGCAGTGAGTGAAGGGGTCATGCACCAGGTCTGTGTATGTGTGTGTCCTGCTCGCATTGCATCTCCTTTGGAGAGACCTCTAGTCTTCTGGCAATCACAGAATCCTAGACGTGTGGCTGTAAGGGATCTTGGGAGGTGCTCTAGTTCAGCCCCATGGCAAGTAAACCTAGACCATCCTTGCCAGGTATTTGTCCAGCCCGTTTTTAAATTCCTCCAAAGATGGGTGTTGTACAAGTTCCCTGGGAAGGGAGCTTAACTACTGTTGGAGTTAGAAAATATTTTCTAATATCGAACTCTGTTTTTTCTTGCTGCAGATTAAGCCCTTTACTTCTTGTCCTGCCTTCAGTGGACATGGAGACCAATTGAGCATAATCCCCTTAATAACAGCACATATTTGAAGACTATTTTCAGGTCCCCTCTGTTTCCTTTTTTTCAAGACTAAATATGCCCAATCTTCAGAAAAAGGAGGCCAAAGGGTGATTCACTGTTTTCATTAGTACTTTTTAAAAGTTATATTTAAAAAAATATGATTGTAGTGACCATTATGAAATGGTGAGTTCATGATTTTAAGGAATGGTAGGAGGGAAAACAGCACAATAAAGATAATGGATTTCAAGAAGACAGACATTAGCAAACTCAGGGAATTGGTAGGTAAGATCCCATTGGAAGCAAGTCTAAGAGGAAAAACAATTTGAGAGAGTTAAGAGTTTTGTAAAGAGACATTATTAAGGGTATGAGCATACTATTCTGCATAGGAAAGATAACTATGGCAAGAGACCACCATGGCCTAACCAGGAAATCTTCAATGATCTGAAACTCAAAAAAGAGTCCTATAAAAATGGTAATTAGGTCAAATTAAAAAGGATGAATATTAAAAAACAAGTAGGAGGGACACAATTAGGCCGAGGCAGAAAATGAGATTAAACTAGCTAGAGACATAAAAGGTAACAAGAAAACATTCTACAAATACATTAGAAGCAAGAGGAAGACCAATGACAGGGTAGGCTTGTTACTCAAAGGGGGTGGGGGCGCAATAACAGAAAATGTGGAAATGGCAGCAGTGCTAAATGATTTTTTGTTTCATTTTTCACTAAAAAGATCAGTAATTTTTGGATATCTAACAATGAACACCAAT